CAAATTCTACCTTAATAAAGTTGTTTAAAAAATTCTTCATAGCCAGGTGTGATGATCTTTAATATCAGCACTCTGACAGGCTAAGGCAGGAGGTTCTCAAATTTGAGGCCAGCATGGGCAATTTAATTAGACCTTGTTTCAAAATAGAAAATAAAATTTAAAAAAGGGCTGGGAATGTAGCTCAGCTCAAAGTCCTGGGTTCAGAAAACAAAGCGAAACAAAATGAAACAAAACAACCCCCAAACCTCATAATGCTTCAGTTATGGCACACCTATTCAGTTTTTGCCTCATCTCACCTCAAGATGATTTTTTTTTTATCCCTTGAGCAGTTTTTTCTCAAGCTTTAAGGTGTATAAGTATCATGTAAGGATTTTTTTAAAACTGCAGATTAGGATTCAGTAAGTCTGTGGAAGGGCCTGAGATTTTGTATTTTCATCAAACTCCAAAGTGATACCAGTGCTGCTGATCTGAAAACCACTCTTTGAAGGAGGTATTAGAACTTGTTCATAACCCAGCCTAGATATTAGAGTCTCTTGGGGGAGCTTTTAAAATAAAATGGATGCATGAATGAAGTCAGAAAGTCTCTCAGATGACTTTAATGTGTAAACAGGTGGAAACCCTTAAGGAAATGGGATTCATTTTATTAATTATCAGTAATAAACTTCATCCATTTTTTTCACTCCTCTACTAGAGTTTAGGTCATATCCTAGAGCTTCCACATGAAAATTGGGATCTCTTCAAGTAACCAGGAGAATAAACTAACAGGGTTCAATTCCATTGGTTTTGAATTATCCCCTTATACATGTCAACCCCTTCATCCTGGCTAAGAGTGTCCAGGTGAAAGAGAACCAGGACTGATAATAGTAGCTAAAATATTGAAGAATTACCACATTCCATGCACCGTTCAAAACAGTTTACATGCATTATCTTTTCTTATCTTCATACTTTACTCTGTGAAATAGGTATTTTTTTATATTATAAAAAGAATAATGTATTAGAGAAGTGAAATAAGTTGTGCAAAATCACACACCTGGGATTTAAAACTAGACAGCCCGACTCCATCATCCTAGAGATCCTGAGACCCACCAATACTTGTCTCCTGTGATGCACTTTTGTGTTTCTCCCAGGCCTTCTGCTCAAATCTTTACCTGATCTTCTATTTTTGAGAACAGAGCTGGACGCCACCCCAATTTTCAAGATCCTTTTACTGGCCTTCTAAAACATAGCTGAGCCTACCTAAAGTGTTTCTGTATCCTAAGGAATCACTCTGGCCTTGCTTTTCTAGGACTCTGTTGATGGTGGAGGCTGCTCTGGGTAGTTTTATTCTGATTACTTGAGCTAAAAGAAAAAGACCCACCAGTGAATTTTTAATGTCCCTTTTCTTCTCTCTGAAAGCTCTGGCCCCTTGAGCTGAAGTTTTCTTTTGTCCTTAGTTCTTGAGTTCCTTTCCCCCTTGAAGATGAGTATAGGAAAGACTTGATGGTACATTCAGATTGAGCAGGATGTTTAAACAACTGATTATATACTTAATCTCTGATACTTTGTTTTATTTTTGAAAAGAGATAGAGTTTCATTGAAGCTTCTGATGATTTTAAGGCAAAAGTATTTTTTTGTTAACAGTGTCTTTAGAAATCAATGTCAGGAAAGCCCATTTTTAATTTATCAATGGCACTCTTAATCTTAATATGCTTAAGTATACTTTACTTTTGAGGACAGAATTAATCTTTTATCAGACTTACTGTGGGTGCTGTTGGTTTCATTATTTTAGGAAATGTTCATGTGATTGTTTCAGAATTAATGCTGTTCACATACTTGTATTTTTCCAGCATCTGTTCAGCATAAAGAAGACAAAATAAGAGTCATCTACGCTACAGCTAATGCAGAAGAGTTGTAAATCTGTTTGAAAAATTAACAAAAGTGTTTAACTTGTTGATTTTGTCTTGACTGAGAAGAAAGTACATCTAAAATTAACCATATGTTACAGAGTATTTGGACTACCTGTTGTAAGTTATGTCTTTGTGAAGCTATGGAGAAAATTTTTGGAAGTAGAGGTGAAAAATAGGAAATTTCATTCTGCCTTTCATTTAGAGTAAGGATGGTTGAAAATACCAAAACTATTAGTGTAAATTCTTTGTGGCACTGAGAGTTTAAGCTTTAAAATGACTGAGTCACTTTAGGGCTCGTTAAAAATACAAATCCTTGAGCTCCATCCTTTTTGGCTCTGAATTTTTAATAAATTCCTCAGAGGATTGTAATACTCATTGTATTAGTCTATACTGAGAGATTTTATGGGGAGTTGGACTTTTGGTTCTAAGACTAAAGCCATCCAAAACAAACTAAAATGGTTGGTTACTATAGTGGAAGAGCAGATTCTGGTTAGCTTGAAGACAGCAAACTAATGATAGGTGTGTTATGTAATTAGGTAATGATTAATGGTATGGAAAAAAGCAGAGTAAAAGACAGCGACTGGCAGAATTATATAGTGTTATTTTCAGGAGATACCAATGAAGCAGAGAAAGGAATGAAATTAAGTGAATCATGTGGCCACCATTGGGGGTACATTTGGGGAAAAGGGTAGAGCAAATATGAAGACTTTGAGACAGAGACAAATGTGGCATATTTGAGGAAGACTGACACTACTTTGGGTAGAATAAATGAGGGAAATGGAAGGGAATGAAGAAAGTTGAGGTCTGCTGGGGTCAATTGTCAAGAGCTTTGGTAACCATGGTAAAGAGTTTGGATTTTAAGTGTGATAAAAAATTTTGTACTGCAAACATGTACTAATAAAAAAATTAATTTTGAACAGAACAGTGATATATGTTAGATCCTGTGGCCATTATGTGAAGAATAAAGAGAGGAAGCCAAATGTGAGTGCAGACCCCTGCAATCCCAGCACTCAGGAGGCTGAGGCAAGATCATCATGAATTTGAGGCCGGCCTGGGCTACATAGTGAGTTCAAGGCCAGATTGAACTACATAGAGAGACCCTATCTCACAAAACAAAAGAAAAACAAAAAAAGAACAAAACACAAAACAAAACAAATAGAGGAACAAGAATGGAATCAGATTCCTAAGCCTAAATTAGGCTGTTTCCATTGTTCAGGTAGGAGAAGATGCTAGTAATGGACCAAATTGGTAGCAATGATAGAGATGAGAGTAGCTAGATTTAGTATATGTTTGGAAGAATTGACAACATTTTTTAGTTTACTGGATGGAATTTGAAAGGAAAATGTTTTGGTTTGAATTCCTAGGTGAATATTGATACTCTTTGTGGAAGTGGGGGCATCCCAGGGAAGAGCAGGCTTGTTTGGAATGTGAAGATTTCTTTTGGATGTATTATGATTGAGGTGCCTATAGACGTCCAAGGGCAGAGACAGTTGGATATAGAAGTTTGAAGTAGAGTGCAGAGGCCTAGGCTAGAGATAGGAACTTGAGGATTAATACTTATTACTTAGTGCCATGAGATTAGATTATGTCAGCTGGGATGTGAAGTAAGACAGATAAGAGAAATAAAGTAATGACTGAAAGGAGAGGGAGATTCAGCAGAGTGACTAAGAGCCACCAGTAAGGAAGAAAAAAACTCAGGAGAATGTAGTTCTCATAGATAAATGAGTGAATTGATTGTTTCAAGAGAAACCATCAACTGTGTCAGATGCTGTTGAAAGGCTAGGGTGAGAATCTAAACCAGTAATGGTGAACCATTTAGAGCTTTCAATGATAACAAACAGCCCACTGCAGCATGTGTGCCATAGGTTTACCACTACTGACCTAAATTGACTGTTTAATTTGATGGGTGGTAACACCTGAATGATAGAAACAAAAACCTGATTAGAGGGAGATAAGTGTATAGTATTTTCCAAGGGCTGCTATAACAGTACCATAAACTGAGTGGTTTAAACAGAAATTTATTGTCTTACAATTGTGGAGTTGGCAGAGCCATATTCCTTCTGAAGGTGATAGAAAAGGATATGAATTATGTGTTCCTGGCTTGCTCATATCTTCTGATACTTAAAAAAAATCGACATTCCTTGCTCGTAGCAGCGTAACTTTGTATCTCGACATGGCATTCTCCCTGCATATGTGTTTGTATTCCAGATACCTTTTTCTATAAGGATAGCTGGTGTATTGGATTATGGGTCCACTCTATTATAATATGACTTCATCCTAACTTAACTATATTTACATCTGCAACAGCCCTGTTTCCAAATATGATCAAATTTTGTTGCACTTGGGATTATACTTTAAAATATGAATTTTGAGAGAACACACTTCATCCCATAACAATGTGCTGTATACATATAATGAAATATTCAGCAATATAAAGGAACAAAGTACTAATATAGTCTACTCCACGGACAAACCTTGAAAATATTATGCTGAGTGAAATAAGACAGACACAAAAGGTTACAATTGTATGTTCCATTTGTAGTGTCCAGAAAAGACAAATCCACAAAGAGAATATTGTCACGGGTTGGAAACGGGAAACAGGAATGACTGTTTATGGGCATGGAATTTTTTTCTGAGATGGTTCACAACCTTGTGATGCTTGCTGATGCTTTATTAACAGCATCTGAGCTATACCTTTTGAAAGAGTGAATTTGATGATATGTGAATAACTGTCAATAAAAATGTGAGATATTTATCTCAGATATTTCTCATACATGCACACACACAAAGCTAGACACAGATTGAGAAAGAGAGAGACAAAAGAGACAGAAGAAGACGGAAGAAGTAGACATAGCTGATGTCAGCATCTCTTTGGGGTATTTTTATGATTAAATACAAAACCATGAGGTGATAGGTAAAATGGGATATAAGGTCAAGTAGAACTTTAAAAAAGAAAACAGTACATATTGTACCATTTTGTATGTTGATTCAAATGCTCCAGTGGAAAGGGAATTGGTAATGATGCAAGGTAAGGCAGAGGGAATTTCTGGTAGACATATTCTTAAGTTCACTGTAATTTTATGTTGAAATACTTTCTTCATGTTTCTTCCCTAGGTGACAGACCAGTCAGTGAAAGCATTTGCTGAACACTGTCCTGAACTTCAGTATGTTGGCTTCATGGGTTGTTCAGTGACTTCTAAAGGAGTCATCCACCTAACCAAGGTAGGTGCCATGGCTACTTCTCCTTGGTTTTTCTGAGTATCATTCAGATGATGGGTCCTAACGTTGTTTTTGTTGTTTGCTTGTTTTGAATATATTTTGTTTTTATATTACTAGGAATCAAACCTAGCACCTTCTTGCTTGGGTACAGCCCTGGCCTTTTTTTTTCAGAGACTTGTTTTTAGGTACTTTTATTTTTCTTAGTATATGTTGATAGTATATAATTATTACATTCATTGCAAGGAGTTGGTACATCGCAATTCTTTTATGTCCCCTTTCCCTCTCCTTCCTAGAAATTTTTCATTTTGAGACAGGGTTTCACAGAATCACTAAGTTGCCCAGGTTGGGCTCAGACTTGTAGTCCTACTGCCTCAGACCTAACCAGAGTGCTGGCATATACTGGTGTGTACCACCATGCCTAGCACATTGGTTTTTTTGAGACATCTCACTGTGTTTCACTGGTTGATCTTGAAGTCGTGGTGGGTTCAAGTGATTCCCCTGCCTCAGCTTCCCAAGTAGGTGGAACTATAGGCACATACCACTACACCTAGCTCTCTGACTTTGTTAAGTGTACTTTAATATGGGATAGTCAGACCATTATAGAAATGTACTAGTGTTGATAAAGTTAAAACCAGTTTAATATAATAATATCAAACTTACACTTTCTGCATTGTGACAATCATTTAAACGAGAAACTTCTTGCTATTTAATTGCTGATCATTTTGAATATATGCGTTAAAGAAACTGATACATGTGACACGAGTCATTTAAATGTTAACTTAATGTACTGCTCTTAGAAGATGTATTGATTGAGTTTTAACTGCTTACATATCATTAGGTCACATATCATTGGCTTCAAAGTGAATATGGTCAGAATGATTAAGCTGAATATGTAAAGTTAAAAGAGGTGACTGTATATCAAAAATTTACCTGATAGTTCAGTTCACTCCTATACCAGATATAAGATGTCTCATATTTTAGCAGGGATGAAAAAATGCCAAGTCCTTTGTGATCTCTCAGCTCAACTGCTTTCCAGAGCTTTAGTATGATTAGGAACAAATTCTCACATTCATATAATGAAAAATCTGCTGTCTATAAAATTACCTGTGTATTGTTTGAAATTTTTTACTGACAGCTTGTAACTCTATCCTATAGAACTTAATTTATCTTAAGTGTTCCTGTTTACTGGCTGACTAAACCTTTTCATTTAAGCTTCCTTCACTTCTTAATGATTAGAAAACCACTATGTTTGCAGCACTATGCTGCAAACCAGTAATATCCCAGTGTTTTGGGGGCTTGATCTCTTCAAATCTCTTCAGGCTCAGTTTAGTGGGAAATATTGTCTTCTTTCCTTCCACATGAAAGAATAAATGTTTATGATTTATTTAGGACTATGGTAGAGATACACAGTGAGTATGACCCTGGACTTCATTGCTAGTTTGAATTTCATTCTTGTCTCTGCTACTTATTAATTAAGTGGACAATTTTTTTTTCTGGGTATTAAATAAGGTAATATATGCAAGATTCTAGATTAGTATCAGTGCCACAATAAGTACTAATGCTCACTAATCTTAAAATAGATTTTATGGTATCTAAATTGCTAGAAAAACAGTACAAACTTTGATTTTAAAAAAGTCAAATCACTTTTCTTAGCTACTGTATCTGAGAGCATGTGGTTATACTGAGTCTTAAATGAGTGATCAGATATTATTGTATTTTAAGGATCAGAGCCTAAAGCTAGAGGATAGATATGGACTGTTATTATTGCTCTATCAGAACATCTTAGTGTAACCAAGACCATATGTAACCATAATTTTTACTTATTTCCAATAACCTTGGCCTGAATATCTTGGTAGATGAATGTTTTTCTCATCTAATGCTGTTTATAGTATAGAGTAGAAATGCCGTTGGATGAACAGATTGTGCACAACAAATGTTGTAATGACCATATGTGGGATTTTTATGATCGCCCAAAATTGTACTCATTAAAGACAAAACAAGACTTATTAGATCAGTAAGCTTCTGTGAGCATTTTGAGATGGCCAAAATTTATGGTACACTGGTACTTAAGAGGTAGAATTATTCTCTGTGACAAAATAGCTACAGCAAATGTCTATATTGGGAAGCTCAGTTTGCTGAGAAAGTTCTTCTGAAGATTATAGAAGAGGGTTGCTGGTTTGGTCTGTTAACAATTGGACTCATATATTAATCCTAGTCCACAAAGTTCTAAAGAGTGTATTTTTCTTTTTTGCTTTGATGAGAATACTGATTTGTGGTGTAGTATTATACCAGAATAGTTTCCTGGATTCAAGTTAAAGCCAGATGTCATTTTAAACATATATAGATTTTTCAGAGCTCTTTTATTTCTTGAAAACCATGAATACAACTCTGATTTTAAGAAAATTAAAGATTTTTAGTTTAAAATATTTGCATTCTAATGTTTTATCAATTACTAAAATATTTACAAAATATTTGTAAATCTATAAATGTCCCTGAAAAGTTGTTTCCCTTATTTATTATCATCATAGTACATATAGTTTTAAAATAAATTATTCAGGACATGTGAGATATAGAGTATTGAGAGAGCTATCACCTAAATATGTTTACTTTTTTGTGATTTAGAAAGTCACCCTCACATATAACTTTACTGGCTGTTGGTTTCAAACTTTGCTAAAAGAGACACATTACACAAAATCTGTGTCCCCTTAATTTATTATTTTTCAAACCATGGGTCTGGATTTAATAATCTATCTGTAGATATAAAATTTCTTCTTTTAAAATATTGTTTCCTGCATGGTTTATCTCCTCAGTCATTGCCCAAAGGACTCTGAGAAGTTTTAGGAATATGCAGGCGCAGACACAAAGCCCAGCTTCTTCTCCAGTGTTGTGGAAAGGGACTGTATATCATGGGGCAGAACCCTATGCTCCCCTATGCCACCTGGACAGAGCCCGGGGAGAGATAAAAAGTTTCTTATACCTGAAAGAATCTATGAATTTAGGATTATTGGACCATAAGGGACTGTGAAGGGTGTCACTGAAACTAAGACAAATGTCAAAAGCCATGAATTAGAAAGGAAAATTGGAGATTTGTGACATCTTAGATTGTTAAACCAAATGCCAGAAGACAGCAGATTGGGAATAGATGGAAGAATATTGATGTCCTTTTAATTTGGTCTCTTAATTTAATTTCGTTTTGATATTTTCAGTCTTAACTGGACTCTCATTTACTTTATAATATTAATGACATTTCCTTAGTGTTAGGTAGATTCTGCTAATATCAAACAGTACTGAGGTTGGAAGCCTTCTTTTCAAACTGCTATTTCTGTATAAAAGAGAGTCCAGAAATAGCCAAAACCAAATGAACATAAGTTGAGAAAACAAAGTCAGTTTTACTGGACTGTTTGGAAGCATAGAACTCCATGTTTAGGATGGAAACTTTTGTGATCTCTATTTAACAGTTGAATATTAGTGTTGTATGCAGCAGAATTGGTTCTCTTCCACCATAGGTGTATTTTTTCATCATATTATACCTCCTTATACATATAAAAAATTTTCTTTGTTCTCTGTCCTATTTTTAAAAACAACTTCAGCAAATGCAAATATACAGTTAATCCCTAATGTCTAGGTTGGGGCACTTAGCTGTTATTTACCAATATGGGAAGTAGAAGGAACATGTCAAAGGAGTCAAAGCCAAATGGAGTGATTCCTACTGTCTTAAATAGGGGAACTTTGAGAATCAAATAGGAAGAGATTGATATATTAAAATAAATAAAATATCCAGAAATCCTGAGTTCATAATAATATAAAAAATAAAAAACGCTGGTCTGCTTTATCCTACTAAGATGTAACAAGAGAGACCAGATTTATTCTCATCTTCAAGACAAACCCAAAATAAAATATATGAAGAAGTGGTTTTCAAGACACTGGATATCAGACAACCAAGGAAGCGATCCCTGAGATATGAGAAACAAATAAGAGGAGTCCTCTGATTGTCTCAGTTTACTCATTGGGAGAATATTCAGATTGCAGCCCAGTGAGGGGTAACCCAGGCAAAACTCCGCAAACTATTTGAAGTGACAAGACAGAATGTCAAGACCAGGGAGACCAAGGCAGCTAGATTCCAGAGGACAGAGCCCTGGAGCTGAGAGGACAGCAGAGGAGCCCACCTGTCTGTGGGGTCCTCCATGTCCCATGCATCTCGATCTGTATAACCTATGAGTGAGGAAGAAAATAAGAGAAATTAAAAGGTATTTTGAAGTGAATGAAAATGAAAATACCACTTATCAGATCTCCTGTGATGCTGCTAAATTACTACTTAGATGTAATTAATAGAACTAAATACCTGTATAAGAAGAAAAAAAAGAAATCTCAAATCTGTATCCTCAGCTTCCATTTCATGAAACACTTTACACTAAAATTTAATTTCTGAACATGTTAGATGTGTGCCTTCTACATGATCTAGCCATTATGTAATTAGGTATTTGTCCAAGAGAAATGGAAGTATAGCTCCACATAGGTGCTTTATCTGTAATAGCCCCAAACTAGAAACAACTCAAATGACTATTAGTAGGTATGTATTTGACTGATCTGTTGTATGGATTACAACAGGGTACCATACAACATTTGAAACTAGTAAATTATTGATACACAGTGACATGGATTAATTTTAGAATAATTTTGCAAAGTATAAAAAACCCAACCAAAAATAATAAAACATGTTCAGGTCCATAAAATTCTAGGAAATGGAAATGATTGTATTTTGTGTGTGTGTGTGTGTGTGTGTGTCTGCGCACACGTGTGAGCTAAATCCCTGGCCGCCTGTTGTATTCTGATTGTAAACTGACGAGTCATTGACTGGAGACTGGGAGCAGGGAGAGCAGAGAAGGGAACAAAGGAGGGGACCCAAAAAACATGAGGAAACTTTGGAAGATGATGTGTAAGTTCATTGTGTTAATTGTGATGAGCATTTCGTAAGTATATGAATATGTCAAAATGTATCAAAT